TGTTGGTCACCTTGTATATGCTATTCATACATGATACAATATTGAATAGACGGTCAAATGAATAACCCTACCCTAAGTCTACAACCAAACAAGGAATAGGAAATAAGGATAAATCAAACATTCTAGGGCTATACAATCCTAACCATGTAAAACTATTGTGTATACATTTAGCAATTAATAACATCAATTAAATTCCAAGCAAAACATAACAACCAACCCCTAGGCTACAATGCATCACATATGTCACACAATTCTAACATGCAATTCCTAAAGGGATCCTTATCTATATAATATCATACAGTTCTAACTATTCATATATCAATAGACATAAATAACAAGTATGCATATTGTAACATCCCAAAAATCAAGGTAAAATTTTCATTTTTCCAAAACCAATCAAAACCATAAATATTTACAAAACATAGTTTCCAAAAGGTCAAAATCATAAATCAGAGTATACTAAGAATAAATCTCATAAAATCGGGAGGATATGCACAATCTAGCTTTTGCCTTGCCCCGATCATCAGAAGTACCTGAAACATAAAACTTAAACTGTAAGCCAAAGCTTAGTGAGTTTCCCCCCCAAAGTACCACACACAACCAAACAAATATGCATATTGCATGTTGGGTCCACAACTTCCCGGTTGGATTGCCATACATGTTACATATTGGGTCCACAACCTCTCGGTTGGATTGCTACTCTGGCCCACAATCTCCCGATTGGATTGCCTCGGGTTTGTTGGCTTACAACACAAAGCAATACAACCTCAACCCAACCACACTATGTCGACATATGCAACATATAAACATATAACCAACAAATAGATAATCATACAAATCTAGCAGATCAATATAACATAGCAACATCCCATATACCAGAATACATAACCTAGTGGATCGGCATTGGTGCCTTCGACCCACAAGTACAATAAGGAAAACTCACCTCACAATCTAAAAAGATAGCAGAAAAGAACGTTGCTCCAAAAGTCAACTCTACAGGTCACCTATACAACAAACATTGACCTAAACTCAAACTACAACTCAAAATACCCAAAATACCCCAATGTCAAACTTGGTCAAAATCATGGTCAAAGGTCAAAAGTCAAAAGTCAACGAGTCAACTCAGACTGATTATGCTCGGCGTACTCAGCCACTATGCTCAGCGTAGTTCACCCTTGGTCCGGTTATGGAGTCCCGACCAGGTACACGCAATATACCATCAGGTACGCCTAGCATACTCGGTTGCCATCTTTTCTTTCTATTAAGTGCTTAATCTATTAAGACACTGCGTCCAAAACTCAGATCTAGTTCCAAATAATGTTATAATTCATAAAGTTTCAAACTTTATGACTTTCCAAGGTTAGAAAGGGTCCAACAACTAAAACCTAACTCAATACACAAACCAAAACCTCATATCTCATGCATGAAGAAAGGAAAGGGACCAAGATCACATTTTTATGGTCCTAAGCACCTAAAAGCGTCTAGAAGGACAACCCTGATGGGTTAGAGTAAGCCATACTCATGAACACCAAGCTTATGGGACCAAAATGAACACAAGATCCAAGCTAACAAGATCTAAGCAAATACTCATCAAGTTTCAGAATTTATACCTCCAAATGATGCTTGAGGGTGAAACACTTCTAGATCCAAAGTTCCTTAAGCTTCCAAGATGGTTTCCTTTCATTCTCCTTCCTTCATAGACACAACAAATGCACTCTTAAGCTCACAAGGGCTCACACAAGGAATTAAGGTTTGTTAGGGACAAAAAGGGGGATGGAGGCTGATGAATGAAAGGGTCTCAACGAGATAATGATGCTTAAATATGGTTCAAACCCGAAAAATTAGGGTTTAGGTTTTTTTCCACGTACATACAGCGTACGCACAAATCATACATTTCTTAGTCATGGAGCCATGGGACCATTTTTGCAATCACATTTCATACTTAGGGTAAAAAATTTAAATTACCTGAATAATTAATGTTACAAATATTTTGGGAACCACTTCCTAATAGGGCTCCAACTGACTGTACACATCGCATTTTCTTGTTAAAATCAAAAGTCAAGTCAGAGATCCATGTTCACGATTCTAGGCCAACAATCAAACACGAACAAGATAAGAGACCGAGTCTATGTCTCTAACCCAACTATTTTCTTAAAAATTCTTTTTCGAAAATATTTTGTGAAAATTCTTGGATCATAGTTTGAGTTTGGATTCACACAAGTGCTCCTCCAAATCCCTCAAAACATGTCTCTGATGCCAACCTGTAACGTCCAATTTTCAACCAAGGTTTTTATTTTTAAATTAAGTTAAAACGTCATTTCTTAAAAACATCCAATTTTCAACCAAGTTTTTTATTTTTAAATTAAGTTAAAACGTCATTTCTTAAAAACCCAAGTTAAGAAAACTCATTTATTCAAATACAATTATATTAAAAGTAAGAATGATATATTAAATGCATAACTCCAATGTTGTTGATGAGTGTGTACAGTCACACCTGCGCCTTCCCAAGATCATCGATAGTACTTGAAAAACATTTACAAGAATACACACATCAACCTTCAATCCACGACTGACCCGTCTCCTACGCCTACAACATAAAATTGGTCCACACCTGGCCTACAACACACCGTTGTGCTGCCAGGGTATCTTGGCCTACCACACAAAGCAAGACCATCTCAATCCACCACAAGATATGTCGACATATATAACCAAACAAAAAATCAAATAAGAGCATCAACACATGCAACTGTCTACACTAGTCTACGTCTAACAATACACTACCGCATACATGGTCTCATACAGTACACTATGCCACAATCGGCATATCACCAAATGGGTGCATAGATGTATATAATCAGAGGTAAGATAGACAGTTGAACATGTGATCCCACTCTAAAACCTCAACCAAATAAGGAACATGCAAGAAAGCCTAGATCAAGAGTTCTCAGGCTATCCTACATGACTACACACAACCCCTAGGGCACACCATTGGATAATCACCGACCTACTGGTATCCTAACATATCATTAACCCTTATATCCTACCATGTAAGGATATACATCGAAGGACATAGTCTAGTGGGGAAACTCACCTGAATCAAAGACTCGAAGAAGCACAACAACACTCTCAACTCCTCGTACTGATCGAACCTGCAGACCGACTAATCACTAAACAAAGATCAACCCATAATCAATTATCCAAGTCCTTCAAGTTTGACCCACGGTCAAATTGGTCAAAAGTTAACAGTCAACGGTCAACAAAAGTCAACAGTTAACGATCAACAAAATTCAACGGCCAGCAAGTCGACAACCACCCCATCGTGGCTAAGCATAGGCCACGTTGTGTCCTTCTTACGACAAAACAGTCGTAAGAAACCCTTCCGCCACGACGTGGTGAGCGTACCACCACGTCGTGGTATCTGCTCTAGACCTCTTAATGGATTAAGCCCTTAATCCATTAAGCCTCATACTCATCCTTTCCAAAAGGCTTCCCCTACACGCATAAGGCCATAACCATCATAAAAACCCTTGCTTTATGGACATGCACACCCAATGCATGTCATACACCAAAGTTAGGCCAAACTAAGAACAAAGACGTCAAAACCTCATGCATGGAACCAAAAATTTATAAAACCTCAGATCTGGAACATATAGACACAAAGAGACCCAAATGATCCATAAAGTTGCCAAATTTATCGAATCCATCCACTCAAATCAACACAAATAAGAAGAAATGTGCTTCAAAGACTAGATCTAGAAGAGATGATCAAAAACGTAGGAATTTATGGACTTACAAAGGTCTAATCTATGCACAAGAACGTGGTGAAGAGCTTTGCTTGTTGAATCCTTGAACTTGGAGCTCCTATCTTCCTTCTTTAAGGTCACAAACCACCTCAATAAGCTTCAAGATGAACACAAGGGGACTAGGGGTTGTTTCTAGACTTAAGAGGGTGATGGACATTGAAGGTGAGTAAACCCTAGCCATCAAATCCTTTAAATAAGGCTCTAAGTCTGAAATTAGGGTTTTGCACTCGAGGCGTCAGCACGTCATGGCCATAGCCTTGCTATGTCGTGGTGCATAAAAAATGCGTGTTTCATATAGCCTTGCCACGTCATGGTCGCCACTAAATTCCACATTTCGAAAGTATAAAAAGATCAAGTCTCAAAAGAAATATTCATTGGGTGTTACATAAAACTTATGGTTATACCTTTTTAATGTATTTAGAATAATCCACAACTTGTTTTATATGTATTTCAAATGTTTGAATTTGTTTTTACGTGTATTTTCAATATTTGAACTTGTGTGTTTACAGAAAATAAAGAAAAACTTGAATATTATGAAAACTAGGTTAACCCAAAGTACGAACCAAAAACCAATTGTCATACCGATTCAATTAAAAATCAAGTTTTAAAACGTTAGTCATAACCCATAAAATTCCACCTGAGATTTAACGGGCTGTTTTATATTTTAAATTTTTTTAAAACTGTCTACATATTCCACACTCCATCGTGTAAATTTGTTTTTTTTTTTTTTTTTAATTTGATATTAATATTTTTTTATATGATTAAAACATCTTTTTAAATATTTTATGATTTTAAAATACAAATAAAAGAACCTTTGCATTTGACTTTAAATCTTACACGGTGGAGTGTGGAGTGTAATATTGGAGACAGTTTTGGAGGTAATAAAAGCAAGCTATTGAAAGAAGCTGTGCAGATCATTCCCAGCTGCCACCCATAAGCCCTCTTTAATCCTAATCTCTTATCTACATGTGGGTGTGTTACTCCCTACCCCCCACCCCTACCCCACCCCACCCCACCCCACCCCACCCCACAAAAACCTCTGCAACTTGTAACCAGGTATATGTTTTCTGCCACCTAAAACTTCTCTTTTAGTGTCTCTCCTTTCTCCTCCCTCGACAATGTCCGAAAGGTATTCCCAATCTTGGCTTCCTCCTTTGTATAATTATTAATCTTCACTTGTTATGAACGCCACAAACAATGATCCATTCAAAAAAATTCATTCTGTATAGCTTTTTATGTTCTCTTCATCTCCAATTTGTGATTTGTTCTTCAAATACTCGTCATGTCGACAGTTTCTTGATTAGTTGTGGGGAAGCTAAACCAGTTGAACTGGAAGACGGTAGGGTTTTTGAATCTGATTTAGGGAATAATACCCATGTCAATATTTCACCAATTTCTCACACCATTGTTTCTAATTCCGATATGGGTGTCCCCAAAATCCTGTCTTCTGCTAGGGTTTTCACTAGCAGTTCAATCTATACATTTAATACCCAGAAAATTGGTAGGCATTGGCTAAGATTGCACTTCTACCCTGTCGAGAACACCGAGTTTGACCTAAATTCCGCTGTTTTTTCTGTGGAAGCAAATGGGATCACATTGATTCATGAATTTTCATTCTTTAGAGGAAATCACAGTTTCCCTCTTTTTAAAGAATATCTTATTCAAATTACTAGCTCAAATTCAGGAAAATTGGTTCTGGGATTGTTGCCTTGGGATAACTCCATTGCTTTCATCAACGGAATCGAGATCCTTTCTGTTCCAAATAAGCAATTTAGCTCGAAAGTGATTCCGATTCCATTAGCGTTTGCTCAGGAGCTCCCAACTCATGTCGGTTTTGAGACAATTTATAGGCTTAACATGGGTGGTCCCAATTTGTCACCCAAGAACGATTCTTTATGGAGGAAATGGGAATCAGATACACCTTTTCTCATCAATCCAGCCGCTGTTCGTAACGTTTCCATAAACCCTAGTTTGATTCAATACCACAATGGGGTTTCACACGAAATCGCTCCAAATTTTGTTTACGCCACTGCTCAAGAAATGGCGGATGCCAGAGTTAATAACCAGAGGTTCAATATCTCATGGCTATTTCAAGTCGAAGAAGGGTTTGGTTACTTCATAAGGTTTCATTTCTGTGATATCGTCGGGTCAAAATTACACGATTTGGTGTTCAATGTTTACATAAACAATCAATCCGCCATTGAATCTTTTGATGTTTCACGTCAAGCAAAAGGTCTATCTTCTGCATATTTCATTGATTTTTTCACCAATTTATCAATCGGATCCGATAAAATCTTAGTTCAAATTGGTCCTTCTCATTTAGAAGGCTATCTCCCAACCGCCCTTTTGAACGGATTAGAGATCATGAAAATGAGCAATCCGAGTGATAGTCTAGATGGAAGACTCGCTGATTATCTTGAATCAAACGACATTGACAAAAGCAAGAAAACGCGGATGATGATTGTGATCTATTCATGCTTAGGTGGCGGTTTTCTTCTCCTTCTACTTCTATTAACATCATTCGTGTTTCTCTTATGTATTCGCCACAAAAAGAAGCTGAAAAAGAAGGATTCAGTAACATGGTCGCCTCTACCAACATACGTTGGCAATTCAGGAACAAAATTCTCATCAAACACCTTCGGTTCCACCACAGCTTCACATAGTTTAGGTCAAATGATATCATTCTCAGAAGTCCGAGAAGCCACAAAGAATTTTGATAAGAAGTTGTTGTTAGGATCCGGTGGATTCGGGAAAGTCTACAAAGGGGTTCTTGAAAACGGGTTGGTGGTTGCGGTCAAACGGGGCAACCCGCGGTCTCAACAAGGTTTAATCGAATTCAAGACCGAAATCGAGATGCTATCGAAGCTTCGACACCGACATTTGGTATCCTTAATTGGATACTGTGAAGAATTGAATGAAATGATTCTTGTTTACGAGTTTATGGCGGGTGGGCCCCTTAGAAGACATTTATACGGGTCAAACCTCCCTCCTTTGACTTGGAAACAACGGGTTGAAATATGTGTTGGTGCTGCAAAAGGGTTGCATTATCTTCATACGGGTGTAGCAGAAACGATCATACACCGGGATGTGAAAACAACCAACATTTTGTTGGATGAGAATCTTGAAGCTAAAGTTGCTGATTTTGGATTGTCTAAATTTGGGCCGAGTTTGAATCAAACGCATGTTAGTACAGCTGTGAAGGGTAGTTTCGGGTATTTGGATCCGGAATATTTTCGGAGGCAACAATTAACGGAAAAATCGGATGTTTATTCGTTTGGGGTGGTGATGTTGGAGGTTTTATGTGCAAGGCCAGCTATAAACCCTACTTTACCAAGAGAACAAGTGAACATAGCAGAATGGGGTATGAACTGGCAAAAGAGAGGTGAATTGGAGAAGATTATGGATGAAAATTTAATGGGTAGTGTCAATCTTGAATCTTTAAGGAAGTTTGGTGAAACTGCTCAGAAATGTTTGAGTGAAAATGGGAATGAAAGGCCATCAATGGGGGATGTGTTGTGGAATTTGGAGTATGCTCTTCAGTTGCAGGAGGTTTGTAATGAAAGTGGTGGTGGTGATGGAATTTCCGACATTCCGGATCGGATTCCCGATGTTGAAAGAGTTGAGGAAATCGATGTCAGTGATCTGGAATCGAATGGCACCATGAGGGATTAAGCTTTTGGTTTAAACTTTGATGTGAAGGTGATGATGGTGCAAGTATTATACGCTTGATTGGTTATTATGTGTTATATAACGGTTTTGTATGTTGAGTTGTTATTCATATATAGTTAAAACTCATAAATTCTTTTCTTTTATGAGTCGAATATAGATAGATTACTTTAATTCAATCTGTGTGTTATCGGTTATATTTGATAATAATAAATGGAGATATCATTGCAATAAAGGGATAATCCAGGATGAATTTGTCAGTCATGATTGAACATTAATCGAGGACAAAGAACACTTATTTGATGGGAATGACAGATTTGTTGGTGTTTTGATGATATCTATAATCCTATCTCACCTGTACTCCAATGGACAGAAAAATAACACATACATTGGTTGTTTTGTTTATATAAAAGTGGAGAAGGTGAGTGGTGTGGACTGTGGCGTGGCATTATGGTTAAGCCTTATTAGTAGCAACAGCAATGCCATTATGCTTTTTAAAACGTGTTAACAAAAATGCAATAGTTTCACGCTTTGATATACATCCGGCTTAAGATTTATAGTCACGGATCGATAGCTTATCGTATACATACTAGTGTTTACAAAAGGCCGATGAACATTCGATAACTATCATATACAAAGACTGCTGTTTACAAAGTCAAGAAACTATCATTGAAAAGGATTCCAAAACAATCCTTTAACTGATATAATGGATGCATTTATTTTCATCAACATACAATATTCATATAATATTTTATATGACAAAATGTGATAACATATATTTTGTTACGATCATATTACATGTATACGTTTTATTACTGATGAAATGTTTTATAAGATTATATACTCAGTAAAACCTTTAGTTTCAAAACACTAAACGTATATATTATTCATTTGGTCATATATCATAACAATTAAATATTTACAAAAAAGGATTGATGGAATGAAATGATTTTCTAATTTTCTAGCTCAAAAAATAATCATCAATTAAAAAGTACATAAATCACATTATTTTCTTCTAAATATCATAAAATAACAAAGAGCAAAATGTAACATGCAAAAGTTTGAACTTTTAATTTTATGTGTGGAATTTTACATTCCACCCATTAAATTTCCAATAAAGTGTATCTTTTATTGAAATATCAATCTGAAAACATATAATTTTCGTATTTTATATTATCATAACATGTTTTTAATTCAAATTTACTTTTATTAATAAATTAAACTTTTATATATATATATATATATATATATATATATATATATATATATTCTCGATTTTTACATTAGTTTTTTTTTTTTAGTTTTAATTATAATAATGATTTTTTCTATATGTTTTTATCTTTATAACTTTCTCATTCGGTTGCGAATTGGCTTGATACATTTTGATGACGAGGCATGTTGGCATGTTAGTATTTGGTGACATCTCCTTATGTGTGTCAAAATCGAAAAAACTAATATGTAGTAACTTTTGCGATATCTAAAGTGTATTTTTTTTTTGCAATTAGGTCTCATCATAAAAACAATTAAAATTCCAACAAAACAAATCATTAATGTACCTTTTAATGTTAGGCAATATAAACGTCGTCTAGTAAACTAGGGTCTTTATATATGTAGTTTGTTGATTGTGATAACGATGACTAACTAATCGTTATGTATAATCATTTGATGCATATAACCCTTTGATGTATCTTGGTTTTTACCGACCCAAAAACTTTTGCACACCATGCCATTCTCTTTAAAAGATAAAATATTAAGAACTTTTGATTTACTTATTATGAATAATTAATTTATTATTTTATTTATTTCATATCAATGTGAGCTATTTCTTGCAATTAATCAAATATGAGAGAGAGAGAGAGAGAGAGAGAGAGAGAGAGAGAGATCCAAACATAAAATTATATGAGAGCTATAACTACAAAAACTTTTGTATCATCCAACTTTGAAACATGTAAAATAGAGAAGAGTTGAGTTGAATGATTGAATGAAGCAAAATGATTAAAACGATTCTACCATTCTAGTTGGTAGACTCTGACTTCAACCAAATTTCTAAGGTTCATGACTAGAATACCCGTAAGTATGCATCTTATTACAAAAGACAAACAAAGTCAAGACCAAGTCAAACTAACCCTATGAGGACACAACTACGAATGCTTCTTTCTACTAGTGTACTCTAATTGACTTACTAAGGTACATGAACAAAATACCATCATCGTTTGAACTTGTTTTTTTATCTACATGCAAAACAACAAGGATTGAACCATGGTTGAAGCTCATGTGAACGTATTCGAGCTCATCTGAACTGGTAGAAGTTTTTAGGTTGGAAAAACCAAGATGTATAAAAGGGTTGTACATAAGTCGGTATATTTAAGACAAAAGTAACCACATTTTAGGGTTCTTTTTTCTTTTTTTTTTTAATAAAATTTTTAAATTTTGATACCTAAAATGTGATGTCACCAAAAATGACACGTCGACATGCCAAGTCCTAACATAATGTCATAGCATAAAAATATATGTAATACTTTTATGCAATTTACCCATAACAAATTAAAAAAAATACACAATTATATTTGTATATTTATATTATTTGCTTTGTGATGTTTGGAAAGGCGTTCCTTCTTTGTTGATGTATCTTTATACCTCATTTATGAAATCCAAGATTTGCACCCCCTGGGGGCGGATAGGAGTTGTAGTAAAACCATAGACATAAGCTTGTAAGCCTTTCATGCATTCAAGCTTATAAACCTTGTTGAGTTTGGTCTTTCTACCAATGTGGGACTCATTCCCACATTTATCCCTTTTTGCTAAATTTATTCTCAAATACCCTTCTTTGAGTATCGATATCTCATTCACATATACTCCATTTTGGACATATAATATATCGTTTCGAAGTCTTCGTGGAGGGGAACACAAACCCACTTAGAGTTAGTTATATATACAACATATGTATATATTTATATATATCCAAAGTTAGTAAAAATATAAATATTTATACTAAATTTTCCAACATTTATTTCGGCAATATACAATATTCATATGATATTGTATATTACAGTAATGTAATAGTATATATTTTGTTATTATTATTATATTAAATGCATACAATTTATTACTCATAAATAATGCTATTTTAAGATTATAAATTTAGTAAAACATTTGGTTTTATAAAACTAAACGTATATATATTATTCAGTTGGTCTATACATCATTATAGTTAAAATATTTTCACGATGTTTTTGAAGGGCAAATAAAATGATTGATGGAATGAGATGATTTTCTAATTTTCTAGCTCAAAACATAATCATTAATTAAAAAGTAAATCAATTACATTATTTTCTTATAAATACCGTAAAGTAACAAAGAGCTGAATTGAATAGACATATAATTTTAATTACATATGGATAGAATATAATTTGTAACATCGTATCCAACTTTTTTTTTTATCAAATGATAAAATTTCAAAATATAATATAATATAAAAAATAAAAAATTGAATGGTATAATTTATAATTCAATAAAAATATATTTTATGTTTTTACTTTTAACTCGTCAAATAATTTCAATATAAAGAGTAAATTGGTCAATAAATGCGAAACCGTTACACAAAAAGAAAATAAAATATGTTCAATGTTGGATATATATTTATTAAAAGCAATACTGAATTGAGGATAATAAATGATATTTATTTTGTAAAAAGAGTAGGATGTCTAATTTGTTGGAGCATTAAACTCTTAGGTATCACTGGTGTTATAACACCACAAAATTGTTACCTCACATCATATTATTAATATCATAACTAGAAATGAGGGTAATGTTGAAATGTTATAACATGTTAAGAGATAGAGAGAGAAAGAGATATTATTAATATCATAACTAGAAATGAGGGTAATGTTGAAATGTTATAACATGTTAAGAGATAGAGAGAGAAAGAGAAAGAAGAAAAAGAAAATGGTAATTGGTTGATTTCTCCCATTGAGACATGTTGTCGTTACCACATTTTATAACATAATATTTTTTAACATGAAAGGGTGATGTTCCCCTTGTCATAACTAGCTTAAGAGGTGACACCTCACTCATAACGCCATATTGCGTTGCGCATACCCAATTCTCATATGAGTCGATGTTATAACACCATTTTACATGTCACCTCAACCTTAACACCATATAGGAAATGGTGTTCCTATATATATATATATATATATTAATATATATATATATATATATATATATATATATATATATATATATATAGAGAGAGAGAGAGAGAGAGAGAGAGACTTAAATATCCTCAAAGACACAGGACGAGCTAGAAAAAATGGTCTTTATCGTTATTATAAGTTTTTATTTTAAAAAAATATATATAATAAAAAAATTTGCGCCATGTACAACTAACCACTTCCCCTCCCCCTCGAGAGAGAGGAGAAGAAGAAGAAGAAGAAAATCTTCCATTAAGGCATGTTGTAGTTACAATATTTTATATCATAGCACCACTTGGAGTGGTGTTCATGGCATTATAAGGTTATTATTGTGTGGCAACCCATCCATAACAACATGTAATGCGACCCATACCGCATATTCTTATATAAGCTACAAATATATATCCTTGTTTCATTATCTTTCTAAAATTATCATTGTACAAAACTTAAAAAGATAATTCTTTTAATCAAAACAAAGTTATTAGTTTCAAATAATGATAAGGAATAGTTGAAAATATCGAGAAAATCTTTAAAATGAGCGTAGTTCCGAACAAAATGACATATGGTCCTTTCCGCAGAATAATTACATACATCATTGCAAAATCACTTATATATTGGAAAATTAATTTTTGAATGATCTACATCACAGATAAATTAAGTTATATGACCCTTTGGTATGTTTGTAATTTTTTGAAATAAGTTAAGATTCAAATGTTACTAAAAGATTTCATATATGTAAAACAGCCTAAAGTAAAAATAAAAAATAAAAATAAAACTAAATTACTTTATATTATATAAAGCAAAATATATAAGTTGGATTATTTCATTGTCCCCTCCTAATAAATGTTTCAATTTGCCAAATAGGAGTTACTAGGTAGCAAGATTGTCAGAATGCCGAAACACAATGTTTTAGAACTTGATACTTGTATATATATAGATATTCGGTGTTGTTGAATTTCAAGTTTATTGTGTCAAAACAAAACACCATTGCATGCTCTCTCCAAATTCATTAACCAAAACCCATTTTTCCCTACTTTCTTCTTCGATTCCCACCCCCTTCGTCTTCACAGACCTGTTTTGACTTTACCTTAAAAAAATCAACTTGTGTTCTTGACTTTTTCTGTTCTTGATACTTTAATGGGGCCCATCAGAAGGTCCAAATCAAAAAAGAAGGCTGAGCAGCCTACCACCTCTCTCGTCACTCCGCCGCTTCCTCAGCCTCAACTTTCCGATTGGTGGCATGATTTCTCCAAAAGGTTTCATGGTATTGTGTACCTTCATATGTTCGTGTTCTTGCGTGTGGTTTACCTGATGTTCTTGAAGTTTTTTGGTTTAATCGTATATAATCCTTATAATCTTTGTCGGTATGATTTAGTGTTTCTTTTTTATGTGTTTATCTGATTATTCTTGTTGATATGCGTAGAATGTGATTGAAGGGATTATCCATATGGTGTTTTTAGGGGATTTTCGTGTTTGTTGTGTTAAATATGCTTGATTTCTGGATGTTTTTACTTTTTTATGTGGAATCAGTCAATCTTTAAATCATGGTGTTGCTCCTTTGCTGCATAGAATACGCTTGACGATTCTGCTATCTGTTGTTCAACATTAATTTATTTGTTCTTCGTGTTTGTTTAACATTAAACTCTTCAATAAATTGTCAAAGTCCTAACCTATTAATATCAGAATCAAAATTCATCCAAATCATTTGTTTTATAAACCCCTAAATAATTTCAGTTCTACAATTTTTTTACAATGGTTTAATGTTACAGTGACAATTTTCATCAACTTTGACTTAAAAAGCAATTCATTTGATTCTAAAAAGTCAAACATTGACTCTTTCACATAGATTTTAGGTGAATTTTGGAGGCTTTATAAACCAAATAAAAGGTCAATTCTGGTGCACCAGAGCTCCATGTTGGCTAGGGTTTGGTAACATTTGTGCAAGTAAACTGCCTCAATGACTCAAAATCGTTGACCCCACTAGATTCGATAGTAGTCCCGGATCTTAAATTTCATAAAGATTTGTTTTTGAGTTTGTCAATAACGTTTCTTCGTGTCACATTAGCAAGAACTCATTAAGAACTTAACATCAATGATGATTCTCTAAGTAATTCTTATTACTTCATCAATGCAAACCGTTAGAACTCATTAAGAAATTGCTTCAATGGTAGTATCATGCCATTTTTGGGTCCTTTATAATCACAAATTACTCAAAAGTTCAATGTTTCATGTTCTTAACCATAAAGTTTCCAACTTTATTCATTAACATTATCTTGAATCTTAGAAACCAAAGCTTAACTATTTACAACCACTCTATAAAGTCTCGATATGGTAAGATCTCCATTATGTAAAAAACTTATATATGATCATACCATTTTCTGCTATTATCATTAAAAAGTTCACATTTTGTTGATTTTCAGGGAGTTTATCCAAATCAACGGATTCACAAAGCTTCGAATCCATGTTCAAGATGTCGATGAAAACGTTTGACTACATTTCCTCACTCGTTAAAGAAGACATAATTGCAAAAACTCCAAGCTTCATGGACCTCAATGGCATCCCTTTGTGCCTATATGATGTGGTTGCTACAGCATTAAGACGTTTAGGATCCGGTGACTCTTTAGCCATAGTTGGAACTTCACTTAACCTAAACCAAACCACGGTTGCTCAGATAACCAAACTGTTTGTTGACACCTTGGAATTCCGGGGAATCTGCCACATTCGATGGCCGGAATCGGAATCCGAGATGGAGGCCGTGAAATCCAAACTGGAAAAGATCGCCGGACTCCCGAACTGTTGTGGTGCAATCGACACCTCCCATGTCATGATGTGTGTCTCGACTGCTGACCGGTCAACCCAATTATGGTGTGACCGTGAGAAAAACCAAACGGTTACATTCCAGGTAATCGCGGATGCCGACTTGCGATTCCGGGATCTTGTCGGTGGGTGGCCGGGGTGTATGACCGATGAGCGTATCCATAAAAAGTCAACTTTTTTTAAGTTTTGTAAAAGTGGGGAGAGATTGAATGGGAAACGGAGGGTGGTTTCGGAAGGAAACGAGATCGAGGAGTATATAGTCGGGAATTCAGGATTCCGGTTGCTGCCATGGCTGATGACTCCATATCGAGGGAACAAGCTTTGTGATTCCGAAGTTAGATTTAATCAAATGGTGATGAAGACACAAATGGTGGCACAGAAGGCTTTAGGGAAGCTGAAACAGAATTGGAAAATTATTCAAGGAGTGATGTGGAGGCCTGATAAAGATAGACTACCGGTGATTATTCTTGCTTGTTGCATTCTGCATAATATACTTATTGATATGGAAGATGAAGTTCAAGAGAAGCTTGTGTTTTCACATCGCCATGATTTGGATTATCGTCCAGCTGTTTGTCATTCAGATGATGATAAGAAAGGTGTCGCTTTGAGGGAGAAGATTACTCTTCATTTGTCTGGAGGATCGAAGCCATAAATGTTGTGGTTGATATGAATTTTTCTGGTTTTTATATCTTTTCTTTTAAAATATAAACTACGCATGAGATGAAAGTTTCATGAAACTGTGAAATCTTAAGAGTTGCTTTCTATAGATTTTGTTAAAGCTTGAGGATTATGATAGAGTTATTACAGTTTGATTCTCGCTTAATATGATTCTATATCTTAAACTATTATACTTGCCACCTCGTTACCAAACAACCATTAGACAGACTTGTCATAGTTAAAAATAACCATTTTGATGTTTGCAGTTTTTTAATAGAATATATAAGATGGTTGGTTTGTAATAAAGTGGCACATTTGTTCCTTGAAAACGCAAGATTTTAAACTTTGAGATTTGGTTTTCTATTTTCACGTATGATAGTTGTTTTGCATTGAAATGATAGGCATAATGTTTCAAAACTATGTTCATTCTTACACATAATGGTACGATTTTGTATAAAACTAGAATACCTTGAGTCATTTATACAGAAAGAGTACCCAATCAGGCTTTATCCGTTGATGGTACCAAAATTGCTCTATTGTGTCTCGTGTTAACCTTGACCTAGAACCATCTTTTAAACCCAACGACACTCAAGAATTGGCTAAATTCATTGTTTCTTTTCCTTGATTGTCTTTTCACATAAAACTTGAAAGTTGTTTTGCAATGAAAATCAAGAAAATCGGTTTAAAATTTTGTTCAATGTTATTGTTTTGCATGATACCAGGATACCTTAGGTAATTGATAGGGAAAAAATAAGCATTCGACCTTTATCGGTTAACGTTACACCAAGTTCCACCATTGTGTCTGATGGATCTGGAAAGTATCATTTTTAAACAAGAATTGTCTCTTGAACTTGTTGACACTCAATAAATCATTAGAGTAACCCTAGGAAATTTGTTCTGTGAATTTTAGTTATGTTTGGGCACCTTTTAAAGCAACTTAATCGATGTTTTTGACCTCATTCAACATTTGCTAGCGTCTTGTAGATTATGGTTAGGTTGGTTTGATTTTTTTTTTCTTTAAACCAACTTACTTTGTATATGGTAACGTAACCATTTTATATTCAATAATGGGATTTTGTCAACGATGATCGGAGTTGTGGTTCTATATGTTTATGTCAGTTAATAAATATCTTAATTTGATAGTTTCTAGTTTCTATTAGTTCCGTAAATTCGTAAAATGTATAATAAAGCGACATGATTCATATAAAGTAACCATATATCGTACAAAAAGTTACATATCATTAAAATTAAGTCAATATTATATCTTGTACGTCGTCTATATAATTTAACTTGTAACTTTCTATACATATGCAAATTGATTAACCTCTTGACTCTTAGGTATGTGTAGAAGTGTAGGGAAATAATTGTTGTAAGCTTTTGCAATGTATAAAATCTTATAAAAGCTTCTAAAAAAGTTCTCAAAAGTTATTAAAGTAGCATTTGAATTAAAAATTGTTTAAGGTTTGAAATGAAAATTAGCATAAACCTTAGGGTCTTTTGTGTACTTTATCCCGACATGAAACCTACGAACAAAATTGCAAGGAAGGATCTGGCGATTTGCCACAGGTGCTCTGGAAAAAGTTCCGAGATTAGGGTTTAGGGTTTATAATTGGGGGAAATGGGAACTCGAGATTTTGATGTGAAGAAGCTCTTAATCGACAAGAAATTCTGGTTCGCTTCTTTTCTCATCGGTTGGGCTGCTGCTCTTCAGGTAACGATTTCAACCAACTCCCTCGATCGTATGAAACGCGGTGAATCGATGTTGTTTATTTTGAAGATGCTGTAAAATTGTAGTATTGGTTGTAGGGGCATATGATGTGGTTACAGAGGCAAGATTCCTTCAAACAGAAGTTTGGAACCCTAGACGATCAAATCACTGACGACCGACAGGATTCAACTCATGCTTCATAGCCAATTGGGACTACTGCAATCAATTCGACTACTCATAGTAATCTTTCTTTCTCATCTCGAATTCAGGGGCTAACACTATTACATGATTTTCTTTATTCATTTACTGCTTTTTTGTTGTATTTTGATGCTTTTAATTTTGTGAATAAAAATAATGTTTGGGTTTTAGTTCTTTAAACCTTAAATTCTCGACATGTTTGAAACCATGTGTAAAACCACTACCATAATCAGAACTAAGGTAATAGTCGAATATGTTGTGCCAGTGATTTCTTTTGGTAATGTTGAGATGTTTATGCTAATTGTATTCCTGAGAATACTTTTCGTTGATGATCAAGTGGTATGAAGTTTGAACAAGAAAAAAAAAAAAGGAAAAGTTGCACTGGAAGGTTCCCCCCACTTTAATGGAGTTTAATTCAAGAAAACTTGATCAGCTTTTCTGATTCTGTTCCCACCATAAACTTTGACCCTTACTCCTTATTGTAAGCGGAAATGGAATTAGAATTTTTCTTTGCAAACATATTTGTATACTGTGGACCAGTGGTATTGGTTTTGAATCCATAACAGTTAAGTTTTAAAATATTTAGTTGGTACTGGTTGGCTCAAAGATCATTGGTAACGGCTTGTGGAGTGAGTGTTATGAATCAATTTCCGTATAGGTCAATATCTTACACTTGAGTAGCATTAAAATCGATGTTCAAGTCTTTTGGATATATTACTTTAGCATTGTTAGTTTTATTCATTTCCATGCCTTCCACATTACAGTTGATGGGTATTTATATATACCAATACCTAAGAGTTAGAAGCTAATACAAAAGATGGTAAAATAGAATGTTCCTAATATAATGACTAATTATAATAGGAATTTTGAGTTAAATGACCATGCAACTCTCGATTTAGCCACTAAAAACATCTGATCATGCTAAATTAGACATTGAACTCTAAAATTTGTTCGTTTTGCCCCATTGTGACCTCATGCACCCGGTTAGCCATTTTCCTGCCTACGTGGCATCTTATGTGGCCTAAATGGGGTAAAACGATGCCGTTTAAGTGGGAGCAAAACGAACAAAGTTTTTTTTTTCTCCTGTGCTCATCAGCCTTCATCCACCTTATACCGTCGTCAATCACCCTTCACTCCCTTCATCACCTTCTTCAAACAATCCTCACCATGTTACCAACATCCTACCATTACACCTTCACCATGAGTGCTTGAGTGCTTGGTGATCTGGAAACCACAACATCAACCCCACCATCATCCACATCCAAGCCACCATCTTGACCATCCACATCCAAGCCACCACATATCACTATTTCCATCCCAGTACCTTCTTCACCATCCCATCCGGCAGTCAGACCACCGCCCAACCCACCACCATCTCCGTTACCGCTCACCTTAATCACAAACACCATTAACCCCCAACCATTTGTTACCATCCAATACAACCGCAAAACATCCTCCCTTTCATCTTGTGAAAACAACCTATCATCCGACCATCACTAGTATACCAATAATCACTATTAATAATCACTAATGAGCCTCCAAACCACCATCATCTTCACCTTTGTTCCTCATATCTCTGGACATGCAACTAAAAGAAAAGAAAAGAAGAAGGGTTGCGATTCATATTAGTAAAGTGGAGAAGAAAGGCACACAAGGAAAAAATGGGTATCAAATCTCGATTTTTCAAGGAGAAAGGGTGGGTGTAGTTTTCTTGAGACTTGACGTGTACCTGGTTCTCTATTCAAGAAGAGGGAGGGGGGGGGGTTAAGGGGAATTTTTTAGTTGAGGAAGAAAGAAATAGGGATATGAGCATGTGGGAAACAAAATGACCTGTTTTACCCATACTTAGGCCACATAAGATGCAACGTAAGCAGGGGAACCGACTAACAGGGTGCAAGAGGTTGCAATGGGCAAAGCGAACAAAATTTCGGAGTTTAGGGTCTAATTTAGCATGATCAGATGTTAATGGTTAAATCGAGAGTTGCAAGGCCATTTAGTCAGAACTCCATAATAATAATAAGAATGCCCTACCGTATGTGTGGGAGGAGATAAAAAACTAAGGTGTTGTTTTGTTTTTTAGAAAAAAAAATGCATGACCTCTTATGTTTGTATCGGGCATATATTAAAGCAAAAGACTGTTTGTTTTTTGAAAGACTGCATAGATGAAAAGGTCTACGTGACCTCTTATTCCAAAAGATTAAAAAAACTAGTTTATGATTTTGGATGATATTTTCTAAGTTCTAACCTTAACCCTAACCCCAATCTGATGCTTCTTTTTTCCACAACCACCGCCAAGCCATCACCTTCGTCGCTACCACCACCACCTCCGTTGCTACCACCACTACCACCTCCGCCACACCCACCTTTGCCCCCTCCGCCACTACCTTCACCATTACATTCGCCACCACAACCACCACCATCGTTGCTACCTCTGTACCTCTGCCACCACCACAACATCCACCATCGCCGCCACCACCACCGCTATCACCTTTGCCACCACCATTTCCACCGCCACTATCTTTTACTATAATTTAGAAATCAATATGGTTAATAGATGTTTATACATCTAGTTTGTTTGTTTAGTATTATTTCTTTAATATCATTTATGCAGACTGTAGACTTAAAAAAACAAATTTTTTTCAACTGTAGAGTTTTTGTCCACATCTTCTTTTGTAGACGTGGAAAAAAGATTGCAAACATTTTACTTCTTCAATAAACAAACACCTAAGACTACTGTAGAAATTTTCATGGAGAATCTTTGGAAGACGATTTGTAAAAATGTTGGCAATTGATATCGAGATAGACATACAGCATGTGAACATGGTCTTTGGCTATGTTTTCTCAAACAAAGAGGGTATTTATTTTGGTATGTTTCATACGTTGATGCTGAACTGGATTGTAAGAGAGGTAGAGTGCGCCTACAGTATCACATCAAATAATTATGGCTTTAGCTTGAGAAATTTAAAGGCTCAAGAAGAAGGTTTTGAACCCAATAAATTTTCGATACAACATTGGCAACACCCTAATATTCAGATTCCTCACTCGAGCAGTAGATGATACTTTGCCTCTAGGATGACCATGAGATGAGG